CTGTGAGTGGCCCAAGTGACACAGCTTACACCAACTTTGGTCCAAATCCAGGGTCCTGATCACTGTATATATACCACTTCTCCACAGCTTCGAGAGGAGAACAAAAAAACCCAGGAAAGTAATAGCACAGGAGGCTGTGGGCCTGCCTTTGAGATGATGCCATTTCATATAAAGAAATTCTCTAGGAAATGTAGAGACCACAGAGCTCCTCTGTGGCTGTGTGGGAATACTGGCCGTCGCCAGTATCTGAGTCCCAGCTCTCATGCCCAGAACCCTTGCCACTGGGTGGGACCATTCAATCACTTCTGGCTAACAGGCAGCAGGGAAACAGAGGGGCGAAGGTAGTTCAGTGCCGATGCAGGGTCTTCTTTCCCTTGGCATCAGTCAAGGACCCTGTGTATCTCAAAAGCACAGGCAGACACCACCTCCAGATCTTGTGCTCCTCCTCCTCAGAAACTCTCCTTTCCGTGCATCTGTTCAGCAAATATTTTGGTTTCCTTGTTTTACAGATGAAGAAACTGAGCCTCAGCTCAGTACTGTACAGAGGTAGAGGCAGGACTAACAGAAGCTAAATCCAGGCTAGGCACGACTGCCCTCCTGAGACCTCTTACCTCAGAAGGAGGAAGGCCTGGCCAGCGCTCTGAGCTCGGCTAGGGTTGCGCTGGCCCACACTCCTGACCAGGGAGTCTGATGGGTAGGTTTAGCCACTTCGCTGTTTCCTTGTCCCCAGAGTCCCAAGCATCCCAGGACTGTCCCTCACCCAGCAAAGCTCCCTGGTCCTGCCTTCTCCCACACTGTGGACAGCAGGAACTGGGATGGTGGGAAGGAACCCAGGACATCTCGGCAAACGGCTTATTTTCCTTTCCATTACAGACTGTGGGCTGCCGGCGGCAGGCAGCGGGGCCCATTTGTTGCTATTGGCATCCTGAGGCCCCAAATTATGATGATGACTAATTCCCACCGCTGTAGGCAGCTCCAGGGCTGTCTGCAGCAACATGCTCCCTGGGGTGGAAATCCCACAGGCAGCACACGGACTCCCAGCCTCCATTCCTACTCTAGTCTCCTGATTTCCCGAGGGCCCGGGATTTGGGAGGGATGAGGAAAGAGTTTGCAGCCAATCAAAGGATCCTTTCAATCAAATTCTAGGATAATCAGCCCTAAAGAGGCAAACATCTTCACCAACATAACACATAACTATTTAACAACCATTTGCAAGAGGTAGTGATCTCTCTATTACCAAGGATATGCAAGCAGACCAGATGGCCTTTTGTCCAGGTTTCTGGGCAGAGGAAGCTCTAGATGACTTTTCATGTGTCTTTCAAATCTAATACAATGATGCCACCAGTTCCGAGGACAGAGAACAAGCCCACTGTCCCTCACATTAGCTTAGAGCCCAACTGTGTGTGAGAGTGTCCAAGGTCAAATGCTCACCAATATGCAGTTAAAACACATCATCCAATGGGCGGTCACTGAGGCACTGTTTAAACAGAGGTCTGCTGTAAAGAGTCTGGCCTCTTTCCCAGCCTCCCTATCCTGATGGAACAAGGTTCCTGGCCCCTACTCCGGCCACCCAGCAGAGGACATAGGGGAGAGCCAGTCAATAAATATTTGCTGAACAAATGCACGGAAAGGAGAGTTTCTGAGGTAGATGCAGGCTGTCTGCATGATCCTGGGTGGGGTCCCAACGCTTCGGCCCAGACAAGGGGAGCCTCTGCAGCCTCCAAGCGTGACTGCTCATCTGAGCACATGAAGAACATTTGAGACGCTCCAGCTGAGGCCTCGGGGTACATAGGGTGAAGGAGACAGGGACATGGGAGGAGGGGGTGGAGGAGCAGGGACACCCCCATCCCACTCTGCTGTGGGGCTTTTGACAACTGAGCCCCAGGCAAGCACGACATTGGGCCTCCTGGTAATTAGCAAGAGGTCCTGATCAATAAGTTATTTTTTGCTGTCAGTAATTAATAATTACAGCTTAGCCACACCATGTAATTAAACTTTCATCCCGCTCCCTCTAGTGCTGTCTGGCTTTTGTTGTGGTTGGCTCCCTGAACTACGCTTTCTCCCTTTGGAGCCCTCTAGGAGTCTCAAGCTAAAGCCTTCAGGCTTTTGTCACGGTTTCCCCACCGCCTGGTTCACGTTGCCTCACGCATGGTTCTCTTGAAAGAACCTCCTGGACCAGCTGGCCACCGTCCTCCCAGCCTCTCATGCCTGCCGGAATGACCTCCTGCAGCTATCAAGCTTACAAGCATGGTGCACTTGGTGAAATGTGGAGTCCTATTGCCCGGGAGGGAGCTGGTGAACCTGCATTGTTACCTGTTCCCTGGGAGCTCAGAGGGTAAGGGCCATTCTACAACACACTGAGGTCATCAAGGAAGGAAGTTAAGAAACCTCCAGGAATTCAAGTTCTTATTGGTGGTATCAAGGCACCTTTCTGGGTCCCTGGCTTAGTGTCAACCCAAGTAGGAAGCACCTTCTATGGGGGACCCTTAGCTGGTGCCTCCCTGGGAATGTCTCCAGCCTCCTGGGAACTCTGTAACAGGGTCACTACTTTACCCAATATACAGATAAGGATGAGGGAAGTATGGATGAGGAAGCCAAGGCTCTGAGCAGCTGAGAGCTCTGCTAAGACCTCTCTGCAGTTAGGCCATGAAGCCAGATCACAATGGCCTCCTGTCCATTCTGCTGCCAAAGCCAAAGCTTGTTCTATGTCACTGACCTTCACTCGGGAAATGAGTTTGAACCATTTGACATCAGATTGTGGGGAATTTAAAGGGTTCAAGTGTGTCTTTCAGTATAACCAGGTGATGATGGCTTCAGACTGGAAGAAACTCACTCTCTAAACCCAAAGCTGATAACCCCTGTGCCCGAAGCCCAGCCCTCACATAAACCCAGTCTTGCCTCCAAGCCTGGACAGAAACTGCATTCCCATAATGCTGTGCAGGGTTTGCCGCCTGGAAGACAAATGGAAGGAGGCGGCCGATGCTGGCAGACAAACATTCTCAGAGCCAGAGAGCACAAACAGAGCAGCAGGGGCCCTGGGTAGCCTGACACTCAAAAAGGCAGCAAACAGGAGAAGCCAGAGAGAATGCATCCATCAGCAACCTTCTCTGTTGCTGACAGGTGCGGCCCCTCCCGAGCAAGAAGGGCAGAGACAGTAGGCAGCCTGGCCTTAACTTTAGCAAGACAGGTGGGATCTTGGCCTCTGGTGGATGGAGAAAGTGTGGAGGAAGGGAAGACAGGAAAGGATATTAAAACCATGAAAGAAGGACCACCAGTTGCCCTGGGGACTCCTTAAGGACCCAGTCCAGGGTATAGCAAGCATTGGTGAGCCACTTGTCCAGGGAAGCTAGTTCTTTCATGGAGTTTGTGTGGTCATGAAGCTAGAAGGGCCCAGTCCCAGGGCCCTGCCTTGTCTCTTGGTGTTTGGGTAGTAAAGTCATGGAAATCTCAGAATAAACCCATGAAGGGCTTCAGAATGGACTATAGCTCATTTCTATTCTTCCAGCATCTCGTTTTCCTGGAACCCCCACTAAAGAGGAGCCCCCAGACGAAGATCCCAGCTGCAGCTGACCCTGGTACCTAGGAGAGTGGCTCAGAACTCATCTGGCCCCCCTCCTGACTCTCACACCAGATTACTCAGTGATCTAGGGTAACTCAATGCCATGGGGCCTCAGTTTCCCTATCTGTTAAATGGCTATTAGAATAAGATGACCTCTGAGGTCCTTGCCTGCTGGAAGATTTTATGATGATCATAAAAATAATAACTTTTATTACCTTACATTTATGGAGCTCATTACAAAATTTCGAAGTGCTTTTACCTAAATTATCTCGTAAAATCATTCCCTCAACTCTTTCGAGCAACAGTGGGTCATTTTAATCTCTCATCTTGGCTCTTGGACTTGCCTGACTCTGGGGGCACTGGGGTCCCTTTTCTCGCGCAGGCTTTGAGACCCCGGAGATGGAGTGGGGCCTTGTTCGGGTTGTAGCCCCACAGTCCAACGCCCCCAGGTGGGCCAGGCCCCTCCAGAGTCTGGAAGAGGCAAGGCTGAGCTCCAGAGTGTGGAGCTTCAACCCAGACTTCGCTTTGCTCGCCCCCAGCAGGCGCCGCTCAGACGTCGCGGGCACCACCAAGTGGATAGGAGAACCCCAAAGGCAGGAAGCACGGGTACAGCCGCCCTGCCCTTCTAGGGCTCTCCAGAGGTGTGGGCAGACGTTTGGACGTCTACCTTCGGAAGGAAGATGTAGCGATGACCCCTTCTCCTTTCCAGCATTCCCACCTGAAACCCAGCTCTGCACCGGCAGACTGCTTCACGCAGCCACAGGTCACACAGTAAGCAGGAAAGACAATCCAGGACTAGTGAAGGCTGGAGGCAGAGGCGGGATGCGGGGTGTGTCTGGCGTGACCTGAGGGATGCCTCAGACCCTCCCGGGGCACCACTCCCACCTCCCAAGGGTCTGAGGTTGCACCCGCGCCTGGCTCCAGGCCCACGCAGCAAAGCACTCCCAGCCAGGCAGCCGGGCTGCGCGGGCTCAGTACGTGGCAAAGCAGGGCGAGTACCCTCCTGGGGCGACCCAGCCAGCGAGAGCGCTCTCCATCCTTCGCCCCAGCCTTTAAGACAAGAAGGCCTTGCTCAACAGGAACCAGGAGCCCGGCCTGGGGAACCCAGAGGAGCCGGATGTGCAGCTGGGCACTGAACGCTCCCCCACCCCCTGCCCGAAGGTATCCCCAGCGGCCTGGGGGTGGTGGCGGCCCCTCCCACCTCACCCCCAGCTCTTCCCAGCCTCCCAAGGGGACCCCCACTTTCCACAGTCAGAAGCCACAAGTCTCAGAGAGGCTGCCCTGCCTGAAAGAGAGTCCCCAAAACTCGGTGATGGTGTTGGTGGTGGGGATTATCGAAACTCCCAGGGGAGGACTCTGCCAAGGCTGCGCCTGGCGTCTCGGCACCACCCTTCCTCCGACTTCTCCCCAGCCCTTCGCGGGGCTGGCCCCCGTGCCCTACCTTGGGCTCGGATCACGCGAATCTGATGTACAGCCAGCAAAGTCCAGAGGAGCAGACTCCACATGGTGTCCAGTCAGGAGGGGGTGTCCTCCGGGATCCTGTCCTCCTCCGCGCTGCTTTATAATCCTACTGGGGTCCGGTACCCCGCCCGCAGCTTCGTCCCGAGAGACAGTCACGCAGCTCTGAGTCCCGGGCTTGGGTTTGCCGTGCTCAGAGAAGCGGCACTGGCGACCCCAATTCTTCCTCCTCCTCCTTTGCTATCCAAGTCCAATCCCGGCAGCGCGCCCGGAAGGCGAAGGGAGAGCAAAGAAAAAGCGGCAAAGTCTGCCTCTCGGGCTCGGAAAGCCTCCTCCCCTAGCACCCCAACTTCTACTTCTCCCAGGCAGGGCGGCCTCCGCGATCCCGCCAGGTCGCTGGCCGGGCTCCGGAATAAGCGGACAACTTCAGGAAACTTCCTCCGTGGCCACGTTGCCCGCCCCCTGGCCCTCCCCGCCCCCTGGCTGGGTTCTCCCGGCCGACGCAGTCACCGCGGTCCCCCGCGCCCTGCCCCGGGGACCTGTTCCGAGTCGAGCACGGAGGTGGGCGAGGGTGCAGGGCTTCTTTCAGGGTTGCGTGGCTTGGGGGGCGAGGTGAGCATTAGGTCCGAATCTCCCTGGAGCCGAAGTTTTCTTCTCTTCAACTTTGCGGGCGGCATCTGGCGGGGCCGAGCCTCCCCTCTCGGCTCCGCAGCCCTCACGCCGAATCCGCAGGCGCCGCTCCACACCCCGATTCCCGGTTGCGCCCTCGGCTGCGCGCCCAGCCGGCTAGCAAACTTTGCGGATCCCGCGGCCCGGCGCGCAATCCCGCGCGCCCATGTCTGCGCCGGCTGCCGGCTGGCGGGGGCGGATGCCGGGCTCGGCGCCCCGGGCTGAAGCCGGCGCTTCGGCGCTGAGCCTCCTGCCGGCGAGAGGACGCAGACTCGCGGCTCTGCCCTCCGTCGCGCCCCGCTCGGAGCTCTAGGCAAGACGCACGGAGAGCCCGACAGGCAGCCCCGGCTCCGAGGACTCGGGGCCCCTCGGCCGCCCGGCGTTTGCCGACTGCGCCGGCCGGAGCGGCGGCGGCCGCCCCAGCGCCTCGGCCGCGCCGCCTCCGCCCACCGCGGTCGCTGCCGCCGCTCGCGAGCCCGCTGCCCTCCGCTTGCTGTCGCGGCTCGGCGTCCAGAGAGCCACTCCTGCCTGCGCCGAGCCGGAGCTGCGGGGGCAGCGCGAGCCGGGGACGAGCGCGGCGGAGGCGGAGGCGGGGACGCGGAGAGGGGGGCTGAGCGCTACCCCGTGGCCGCGACTGGAGAGCAGCCTGCGCGCCGCGAGGGGGCGGCGGCGGGGCCCGGAGCCAGGCCCGGGAGCGAGCCCCGCGGCCCCAGCGTCCGTGTGCGCGGCCACGGGCGCCCAGCGTCGCCGGACCGCCGGAGGGCAGCGGAGCCAGCCGCGTGCGTGTGCCGGGGTGGATGGGGAGATGGGGCGCGGGGGAGGGGGGGCGCCTCGGCTTCCCCCCGCCAGTGCCTTCCTCCCCCAGACACCCCGCACACAAAGGCCGCCGGGAAGCCTGGAGCTCCCAGCACGCTCCTGGACTTGAGTGACTGGCTGAGGCCCAGAGATGAGGGTTCCGAAAGCTGGGTTGGCTCCAGTTCCCCCTTCTTAGGTCAGACTCTCCAAAGTCTGGAGTTGCTCAGGGCACAGAGCAAGACTGAAGGGAGGCTTGAGACTTAGGACTGGCACAGTGGGGGCGGTGTCATGGCCCTTGCATCCCTTTTTTCTACTTCTTCTGAGGGAGATATGAGCAGGGGCGACAATAAGCGAATAAATAAATAAATAAGGCCAGACCTTGGAGGTGTCCGTCCTCCCAGAAGCCCAGGTGAGAGAGCAGAGGTCCGGAGCTGAGCCCCCGTATGCTGGGCCCAATTAAACTTTTCCAGGCTGGACCAGGAGCCTTTGGCTTTCTGTACCCCCACCCTCCACTGAAAGTATTAAAAATCACATTTTGTGACAATGTTGGCATAAAAGGCGTACATTATTGACATATTAAAGCATTTTCTTCATTCAAAAGTTCATTTCCTCTCTGATTTCTCCCTTCTGGCCTCCAAGGAGTCCTGCACAGTGTGCCTCTGACCCTGCTGCCTCCTGTTTGTGACCCTTGAAGTTTGAGGCTCGCCCTTACAGACTTCCAGAGCTCTGCTGGCCCCTATTGCTTCCCCCCAAGGCACCCCTTCCTATTGCTGCTGAAGGGATACAGCCACTGCAGATATTCCGAAGAAAGAGCTTGTGGGCATGTTTTGACAGTGGATGAAAGGCTAGCCCTCCTTCCCTCAGTCCATTCAGCGACCTAATTCAAACAATATTTTGTGACTTTTCTGCAGGCAGCCTGAGCTTCCTGGCAGGCTGAACCCCCACTGGCTGGCTGATTTGTCTTTGGAAGGGATTGGGGACCAGCAGCACAGAGGTGAGCAGCTCTCCTCCCCTAGGTGGCCATACCACTCCTGAATGCTTAGAGATGGCCAGAGGTGACCTCGAGCACCTCCACAGTCCCTGAAGGCCCCCCAGAATGCAGGCCCTTCCCAGCCTGGCAGGCACAGTTGGTCTGCAGGGTGCTATTGCACAGCTCGCTCACAGAGGGGGCCTGAGAGCCAGATTTGCCAGAATTCGTGCCTCAGCCGGCAAAGGACCAGCAGAGAGGCTGAATCTCTGCTTGGAGGCTGGGAGTTTGTGTGGCTACAGATGTCTGAAACCACAGTGGATTCCTCTCTGCTCATGTCCAATTCCCTGTCTGTGCTGGATGCTCCTGGGACCTAAACAGCATTTGTTCCATTCCTAAGAACAAGCACCTTCCACACCTATGTGCAGTCCAACAAATCTGAGAGCTTTATCCCCACAAGTTGGGCTAGGGAACCAAAAAGGGAATGGAGAAAAGGAGAAGGCTTCTTTGTCTGTTGGCTCTCCCCTCACATGCCAGGGTATTAGAAGAGAGGAGGGGATCCTCCAGCAGCTCTTATAGCAAAACTGCCTTCTAAGGCAGAGAGGAGTCAGGCTCTCTGGGCCTCAGTGTCCACATTCAGGAGGGGATTTTGCTTCTTTGAGTTTTGCTGGTCCAGGAAGAGACTGTGCAGGGAGCCTACCATTTCAAGAGGGGCTCCTTTCTGGCAAAATCACTTGCAGGCACTCATGACCTCATTTTTGCCACCAGCAGCATCATTGGAAGGTAGCAAATGGTGCATTTACAGTGGGTATGCCAAGCGGGTGGGGGCTGCATTCCTGTCTCTGTGCTGATACCCTGTTGCAATCCTGCAATCCCTTCCTGTGTGAATCGTGTGTTCAGCTCTCCTAGTATGCTCTGAGGATAGGATTGGGATCATCTCACGCACCGAGATCCCATTCCTCTCAATGAGTGACTCTGGACTGACCCATGTCCAGGGTCAGTACCTCTTGGAAGGCTCTTTCTATTGGACTCTGTAAAGTCAGGAGCAGGTGACACATTGCATTTCAAAAGAGAAGGCAGACTGAGCCGGTCTGCTGTGTCCCTCTCCCTTTCCAAGTGAATGTGAGCATAAAACATTATGCTTCTGCTGGGAAAACATCTACACAACCCCAAATAGGATTACACAAAGTCAATGAAACGATGTCACTGCAGACTTTGTCTTTGCAGTGGGAAGTATCCCACATCCCAGTCAAGGAATGAGAAGGCACAGCTCGGGGGAAGAAGGTGGGGGCTGCTCACTGTCACAGAAGGCCACAGTCTCCTTACCCGGCCGTCCTCTGACATTAAACTGACCTCTGCCCCCGTTTCGCACAGAAAGCAAAGGGCAGGTGGGGCAGAGCCAACTTTTCAATGTGGTTACTGTGTATTTTTTCTGTTTTCAATCTGGGATGTAACAGTAGCTAGGACAGAGTGTTCAATTACAAGATCAGGCTGCATCCTCTACCAGCATGGGGCTGGCGTCAGGGACCAGCAGGGACCCGCCAGGCAGCAGTGACACTGCAGGTAGAAGTAACTGCTTCTGCTCTTTGACCCCTCACCCTTAGCCCCTGTGTCCTGTTGCCCATACTGGCCAGTGCCACCTGCAGCCAGAAAGCCCACTCCAGGGAGTTTTGCTAGAGAGGAGAAGGTGAAAGAATTGGATACAGAGGCTGTATCCAAATGAGAGGCCAAGAGAGTGTCAGGCTGGCCTGGCCTTTAAACTATGTGGTGGAGTAAAGGTGCATAGTTCATGGCAGCTGGGAAGCACGGCATGGGCACAATGTCAGCAAAGGACTGTGTATTGCACCCAAGATCACTCCTCCACACCCACCCAGGATCACGTGCCACCAATCTGCTGGGAGTTTTTTTAATCAAGTGGAGCTGACTTACCAGGACTTAACCAGAAACTTGGACTTCTGATAAATCATTGATAGTGTTCTTTACTTATTAGCTCTTTTCCAAAGATGGAGAAAGAAAAGAAGAAGAATAGATAAAAAAGACATAATTTATCTCCGTTAGAGAGAGAGGGACCTGGATCCCTGTCATACCTCTGGCTGCCATAATGAAACACCATGGGCAGGTGGCTTTGGCAACATGCATTTATTTCTCACAGTTTTGCAGACTGGAAAGTGCAAGAGGGTGACCAATGCACTTGTTGCTAAGGGCTCTCTGCTTGGTTTGAAAGGTGGGGGCAGAATGAGCGCCAGTCTCCTCCTCTTTCATCATGATGACACCTTCATGACCTCATCCGAACCTAATCACCTCCTAAAGGCCAAGAACTTCAATTTACGGATTTTGTGTAATTCTCGTGTAGCCTACAATCACCATGAGAACTTTCATCCCACTGTGAGAATGGTCCTAGGATGTGGTGCGTGTCTGTGGCTGGACCGCAAGCCTGCAGCTTTTCTTCCAGGGTGTGAGAGAACTGTGGCTTTGGTTTGCAGCTTTGAGGCCCTGCGATCTGATTGGACACACACTCCAAAGAAGTGGGGTTCGACTCCATGCTTCCACCTTCTTGTGCCCTCCCATTCATTTCTTCCCTAGGAAGGGGAAAAAGAAGCATGGACAGACAGAGGAGAATACCCTCACACCACCAGCACTGGTGCAGAAATGCTGTCTGGCATGCTGCTGGGGAGCCAGGTGCAAGATGGAGAGAATAGAGATTAAGAGACCATAGGAGACAGCATTTTTAAACAGTAAAACTGCTAAATGTAGGCTAGACTGAAACAGGAAGGGAGCGATCTAGGAAAGATAGGAATGTTCTATAATGGGTTTACTTTAGCCATGCTGAAAAGCAGACAGACCACGCGGCCCAGGAGTTGGGGGGAATCCACAGTCTATCACCAGACAGGAAAGGACACTAGAAACGCCTCACAGAAAGGGCCAAGAAGGAGGAAGTTGGTTGGGAGAGATTGTGTACACTCTGGTGGTATCAGAAACAAAAATAGGGTTCGTTTTATCACAAGTGTCTTTAGTGTATCTGCTATAAAGCACGTAAGAGCCACAGAGAAGCCTGCCTCTGGGCGGATGGGACGCTGATCTTTGAATGGGACAAGGATTTAGAATCCTCCAGGGCCATTGAAAATCACAGAGTGATGAACTCGATGAACTTAAACTTGGAACAAGGTGTATTTAATCTGCTTAGTACAAGAGGAAACTTGTGAATCTGCCCTTCAGGGTCATCAGAGCCAAGTTCTCGCACCTCAGAGGGGAAGCGCCTTTGATCAGGCACTTCCCAGCCAGCTGAGTTGACCTCTTTGCTCTTCTGTAGCCACACACACAGGCCTGTCCCTACGTTTGCTGTTACAGATTTCTGTGCATGAAATGCCCTCCCTCCAAATGTCCACATGGCTCAGGCTCCCACGTCCAGTGCATCCATTTAAATAATACCTGACCACTGAGGTCTCCCTCCCAATTACTTGGAAAGAGAAGTCCACCCGTGGGGAGAGGTTCACAGGGGTCAGGGCTGATCCGGCACAGGTGATGCGCTATCTCGGCTGCTGCCTGCCCTCCACCAGCACGTACTGTTGTATGTCCCTGTGACTTCCCAGCACATGTGTACATCCGTGT